AGATGAGACCATAATTATTCAATGAAAAAGAAGCCTCATGCAGGCATGCAAAATAACCTCATTCTAGACTTGGCTTGATATTTTGTACATTTTCGATTTCATTGATTAGTAAAACAATTTTCTCACTGTATTATTGCCCACTCTGGAAAATTTTCAGTAGGTGGGCATCTCAGAAAAGGTTGCCCATAAACCCTGGACGGATTCTCTCTTTAGCTCTTGAAGTGAGCTTTTTCTTATAAGCCTTGTCAAGTTTCTTTTCAATTTTTTTCATTCTCCTACTTTCCCACTGAAGGTGATGCACAGAGTATTTTGTTACTTTTGAGGTATTTCCATTGTCATCCTCGTAGCAGCTTTCCTCACTGCTCATTGCCTCCATGACAAGAACCTCTGCTGCTCTCCCCTTTTCATGCTGGTTGGCCCAGTTGACCAGCTCCAGGGCTGTAGTTTGTCTCATTAACTTCTAAAAAAAATAAAAAAATTAAACAGGCATGAGAAGGGTGTTATAGGACTTCAAATGAAAAATATGATCCAAATCACTAATTTCTCTTGATATATATATGTGTGTACCCATTGTAAGAATGGAATTCTTAAGCATGTTATAATATAGGGCCTCTTTGTCCTTTTTTTTTTTTTCATGAAATGGTGCATACAAACTATCATTTATCTCACATCTTATTTTAATATTTTTCAAATTTATTTTACAAAGATTTTCTTGAAAGGCTCTAGATACAGACCAGAATACCTAACTTATTTAACAGTTTCTCTAATAAGAACATACCCTTGCAAAAAGACCTAGGAAATTCCTAGGAAATCTTAAGATTTTCATAGGAATTTCCTAAGAATATTCCTAGGAAATTCCTAGGAATAAGGTGTGAATTTTCACAGTAAATTGGGACGAAGAATTCAAAGAATTCCTAGAAATTTCCTAGGAAATTCCTAGGAGTGAAAAAAATTAAAATCAGGAAAAAATCCTAGGAAATTCCTAGGAATTTCTTAGGATACACAATTCACTTTTGTCTCACCATGATTAGGTCCCTTAAGGAATTTCCTAGGAAATTCCAAGGAATTTCTTTGGAAAAATAGAATATAATCACTTCAACGACTGCCTCGCAAAGTGGAGGTTAAGGGTGCCTGAGACATCCAGGAGCTTCCACTATTGACAGCCAGCTCCTAAATTGAGACTGCTCGCATGGCTGGTAAATCTAGACGACATAGTCATGAGCCCTGACGCAGAAGGAGAAAAACAGGCACCCATCACACTGATAAAACAGTGGAAAGAAAGTGGGGGGGAGACAGCCTCCAAGGAGTCGTAACGCTCAGAAAAACACTGACTAAAACACTAACAAAACTGAACAATGCCCAGTCGACCAAGAACACAAGGAATCCAGTTGAATGTGCGAATCTAACAGACCACTGACCGCGCCGGGTAGCACTTGTGCTCCACATTGGTTAACTCCATTAAATTACACTTAACTGCACAAAACAACATCAACACCATATGATAGGAATTGAATTGAATTTATTATATACAATTAAAATTTACATAATTATTAATACTTTTTGTTGTTACTACAGAGTGTACATAAAATTACTTGGAGTACAAAACAAATAGGAAAAGATCATTCAAAGGATTACTAAATTGACATTTTAAGATTCAGATATCAATTATCAGAAATCAATTAATTAACAGGAACAGTTTAAAATTTGATTTTCATAAAATTTATTTCTGTAGATATCAGTTGGCCTTAACTGACTTGAGTGATTAATACTTTAGACCTCTCTTCGTATTTCGAATCCAAGTCTTGGTTTGGTCTTCACTGACTTTGAATTTTTTCCTCATAATATCTGAAAAAAAGTAAAACTTATTTATTGCCTGTTCTGAAGTTTACTCATACATTTAACACATAACCAAGGGGCCAAATGACTTAACACCCAGTCCTGTATTAGTTTTGTCTGTTTGTGTGTGCAATTAATATATCACCAGGAGTTGATAGGCAAACATCAAACTGTCAATTTGAAATTACTTATATGTTCAGATGTGCATACATACCTATACTATGCAATGATTAATTACAAGAATGCTTTATTTTCTTTAGAAAATTATCTTACCATATATTGTTGTTAATTTTTGAGGATCCAATGCTTGGACCTCAGTTTCATTCCCACACTTCCATGTTTTCACTCCCTTAATGGTTTGTGTTTTTATCTCCTTGGTTGTGAAAAGATGGTGGAGAATGGCATTCAAGGCTTTTCTTGGCTCCAATCCGGCAACGACATCATCAATTTTTGATTTCTAGAACATAAAAAGTTAATAATTAATTTTATGCAGTGTTAGCAACGGGGGTTTCTTTTCTGTCATCGTCACTTGTTTATCAAATTTAAGATTTCTCCAAGATCCAAACTTATTGTTTAAAAAAAGCATTCAAAAGGATTTGGATGCCGAATTACAGATTGTCTTGCTATCAGACTGACTGAAGGTATTAGCCAACAAAAGTTTGTAACTTCAAAAACTCAAGGTTTTGTCATAGCTTCATAGTAGCAATTACTATTGACAATTCTGTTTATAAACCCAGTTTGACATGCTAAGAGAGGAACTGAAAATTCATAAATAGCATTAAGCGTATGCAAGACCTAGACTCAGCAACATTTGGAGTGGAGATAAATACTTTGGAATACTTACACCAGATTCTTCTTGTGAATTTTCCTTTTCCTTTTCCTTGTCAGTCTAGCATAAAGAGAAAAAAATATTTAAACACTTTGTCAAGTATAGGGTAAATGAAATTGTTATTTTTTTTTTACCTTTAAAAGGACTGCAAATAAAATAATCATTGAAAATTTCTTAATCTAATTTTGACTATTTCTACAACAAGCAATATTTTCAACAGCTCTAATTTATTTTTCACTATTAAGTATTTAGACTAGTATAATGATAAAGTGCTTACTTATGAGTTTTGGGCAGAAACCAAAATTAAAACTGTTAGCTTTTGTATTTGTAGCAGCTGTTTCCTATGTCTGGTGTATTCTGTCAAAAGATTACAGCTCTCGCATTCACAAAACCTTTTCTTCGTTTAACCAAAAAAAGTCTGTAACAGATGGTGATTGCGAGCTCTTTGGTATTTTTAGAGTATAAACGTTTTAATGCGCAAAAGCATTTTACAGAAAGCTTCTGTGATAATTAGTTATATATTCCTAACCTTAAAAGCCTTTTTTAGCTGCTTCACTTCAGCTTTTAACTGAAACACCTCTGATTACAGTTTTTCCATTTCTTCCATCATTATGCTTTGAAAGGTGGAGTCACTCTGATTAAATTGGCCCATGTGGAAGTAGCCACTTTCTTTATCTTCCATATTGCCATTTAATAGAGCCATCATGGAATTGTTATGGTTAGGTTTAGTTGGTGGTGCTAGTGGCGTTCAACAGTGAGGGTGGTAAGGTGATGTATATGCAAATTTGTTTGGCGGTGTTTGATTGATATGGGTCAGTGGACTGTGAAATGAGGCAAAATTACTTGACTTCCACCTAGATCCACCAGATTGCAGTAACTCGGTTGATGTCAATTCAGTTGCAGATGGACTCCTTGTTGCATCTTTGGTGTTGTCAATTTCTCTGATAACTGATATGTCATCATCATTTTCAGAGTTTGCGCTCACTTCTCTTCTTTGCGAAAGCACAAATTCAACCCTCTCTTTTTGGACCTTAACTTGTAGCTGCAAGTAATAACAGTGTATTAGATAAGATTTAGTGATGTAACTTTAAAGATAGATCCAGTTTGTCATTGTAGATATGGTGCACTATTATCTGACAAAATGCACCTTTTGCAATTCACAAGAGAAATTATAAGAAAATAGAGTATAACATAAGCACTTATGGATGCTAATTAGCTGTTTGACGATAAAGCATTCAATTGAGGGGTGTGTACATGCACGACTGATGTGACTTGAAAAGTTTGGATCAAAATACACATTTTTGGCAAAATCATTATTTTCCAGTGGAGCACTGTTCTCATTCAGGCTGATAAAATGTGTGCACAAACATGTCAATGCTACTTTGGCATCTGAACTAATTAACAGGCAGATTATTATGCTTATGTGATATCATTCTAGTGACAGGAACAGAAATACATTTTCCCTGAATTAACAGTTAAACTCTGTATTTCTAAATCACCCAAACTTAGAATGAAACTGAATAATAGAAACAATACTGAGTTGAGACTTGTCTGTATGAAAGCAAAGGCTAAGTGACAAAAAAAAAATGTGTTAAATTAAAGACAATGAATTATATTTTGTAGAATCTCATTTCAATCAACATCATTGACTTACTGGTGGAACTGAAATTTTCTTTGGTTTCTCTTTTTGAGTTTCTGGTTTATTTTCATCATCTGACTCACTGTGTTGTAGTCCACATGACTCTGGTACACTTTTCTTGTTTTGATTCTTTTTTTTTGGTTTGACTTTGTTCTTTTTTCTCATTATCGGAATCTTGTAGCTCTCTTGACTTGTTTTTCTTTGTTTTCTTTTTGATCTGCCTTATAGGTATATCTGTGGTATCATCTACAAGGAGTTCTGAGAAAGACTCCTCCTCTACTAAGTCCCTTAGATGTATCTATATTCAAACCCATCCAATTTTGAAGTGCCAAAATAAAGACATTCAATGGGAAATAGCTTCCCTCCCATTGATCAAGTGTACTTGAGGGTGTACTCAGTCTGGTAACATTGAACATCTGTCGGACCCCATCATTTGTGAACAGCAGGGTATATGAAAAGTAAAATGTTCAAAATAGTATCCTAGCCAATAAATACCTCTCTTTGGCGACCANTGGATGTTTTCAAGCCAAGGCCTTCAATAAAACTCAAGTTGTTATAAAGGAGATATGCATCAATATGCTTGAGTGCAAAATCCTTATGCTCACCCACAAAATGTAATGACACCCCAGTAAAAGTGAAATGCATGTGCTATGATTATTGGTAGCTACCTTCTATGACTTCTTTTGTCCAAGGACACTTTATTTTTTATTTATTTCTGGCATTTTACACTTTCCTAAGGGGACAGTCTCGATAACGGAGGAAATTCAAACCAAAAGTGTGGGGGACTATACACTATGACGTCTTCACAGGAAAAATCCTTCGAATGCACCCCTGGAATTAGAGGTCAATATGTAAACATCCGAATAGCGGGAAACAACAAGAAGCTGAAAATCTGTGAGGAGTCGGTAAATCCTAATCCAACAGGTGAATAATCTGCTATGCACAAGTGTAGACAGGCAGTGATGATACGGAGGTGGGCTATGAGGCTGGTGTCTATACCATTACAATGTGTGTAGGTAGGAAACGCAGGTAGGTAGGTAGGTCGACAACTGAAAAGGGTTGTGGCTACTTGAAAATGCAGGTAAGTGGGTATGAAGAAGTGTGGGTAGGTGGAAAACAAAGCTGGTGGCTATACGAGAATGAAGGTAGGTGGATAAGGAGGTGGCGGGTGGCTAGTGGCTAAATGAGAATGAAGGTAAGTGGGTATGGCGGTGGCTGGTGACTGGTGACTGGTGGCTATATCAGAATGTAGGTAGGTGGGTATGGAGGTAACTGGTGACTGTGACTATATGAGAATGTAAGTAGGTGGGTATGTAGGTGGCTGGTGACTGGTGCCTACATGAAAATGTAGGTAGCTGGGTATGGAGGCGGCTGGTGGCTGGTGGCTATACGAGATTGTAGGTAGGTGGGTATGGAGGTGGCTTGTAACTGGTGGCTATATGAGAATGTACGTAGGTGGGTATCGCGGTGGCAGGTGACTAGTTGCTATATGAGAGTGTAGGTAGGTGGGTAAAATGATAAGGAAGGTAGATGAATACAAAGGCCGGCTGCTGAGCAKGTGTGCATCCAGTGGAGTAAGACAACAAGGTAGTGAGAAAGAAATTAAATGGCGCAATAAGAAGGAATGCAAGTGGTTAGGTAGGGGTGTTGCCAGAGATGTTGGTTGTTGGTGGTTCGAAGAGAAAGGTCAGTAGCCATTTACGGAGTGAGACGGGGATATCAATCATAACGATGGGGGAAAATATTTA